TGAAAAACTTTGTTTTCAAGGCTGAGTCCAGTTTTTTGTTTAAACTCCAATATAAAATGGATGCTTTAAGCTTAAGCTGCTTCTTTTTGGCGGAAATGTGTCATCTACAAGCTAATCGTCTATCCAAGTGAAAACGAAGGTATGCGATTACGTTAGCTTGTGGGATAGGCACATTGTTTGACGATAGGGCACATTTTTAGTCTTAATGTAAAAGTTATGTGCCTGCACTTATTTTCCTTAACTTTTATGAACCATTTCGCTAGCCATTATTTATTTAGTTTAAGGTGCTGCTCTAGCTTTGTGGCTGTTATGAGCCATTTACTTTCGTCTTATTGTATCATCCGAAAAAGTTAATTATTACTTTGTCCCTTTTAAGAATATCTGTGGAGAACAGTATGTACAATATTGCTCCAAGTACACTACCTTGCAGAACACCTGACGTGATTGGATACTCTTCTGATATATATTCATTTACTTTTACCGTTAATCGCCTGCTGGCTGGTGAATGGCGTCCATTAACTCCACACACCCATAGCAGAGGAAGATTCGAGCCTCATCCAGAGTCCCCCGTAATACTGGTGAAACTTACTTACTGTCTTCTATCCGTTCCTTTTTTATTAGTCCCCGCACGACACTAACTACATCTTTTTTACATGCTCCCTAATACCAACACGTCTAAGCTCCCTCTCCCTTCGGCCTGAATTCGTCGAGACAGCGTTTTTTGAACCTCTCGTTAGACGACCTCGACTAACTAGCCTGTTTCTAAACGAGGTTGGTTAGATGGATTCGCATCGTTTGGGAACAGTGTATCTGATCGTCCCGTTAAGGAGGTGGAGCGCAATGTGGCGAAAATTTCAAATATGAATGTGAGGTGAGAAGAGTCCCTAAACTAAAAATTGTATATTTACGTTTACAATATAGGTGGGAAATCAACCTTGGTAAGTTGAGTTGAGTTTAGAACTCGATCTTGGCAATAAAGGTGTTAAAATTATAAAATTTTACAGCCACCATTGAAGTTTTGACACTTTTCGTGATTCCGAATGGCACACAGCTAAATAAAAAACATTTCACTTACCAGCCGTCCATAACTGGCGACGTCAAGGCGAGATACATACACGAGTTATCGACGCCGCTGAGAGCGGCGAAATGTTGCCAGCTGCCAGTGTGTTTGCACATTTTTGAAAAAATTCAGAATTTTCGCCAACGAATTTCATAATTTATATTGTTACGATTTTTTAAAAACTCGCCAACTTAATTTGCAGTTTCTTTCGTTATATAGAATTAATCTAATGTCCTTTATTTTCCAGTAATTCACAATTCAATTATAATGCACTTTACTATTTATAATCACTAGCATCAACTTTCACAATTTACTTTACTTAAATGTAATCTCCAACGCGTTTACTTTACGACTTTAGTGATGTTAACGCCAACCAGTTCACTTTGTAACTAACTTAACTTGCAGCTGAGTGTCGCCCTTATATAGCAGTCGG